ATTTCGCAGAGGGTGGGGGAAGTAGCCTATCAGATTGCTTTACCGTCGTCGCTTGCGAACTTGCATGATGTGTTTCATGTATCCCAGTTGAGGAAGTACATTCCAGATCTGTCATATGTGATTCAGATGGATGATGTACAAGTGCAAGATGATTTGACTGTTGAGGCGTTGCCTGTTCGGATTGATGAGCGAGAAATGAAGCAGTTGCGAGGTAAAGAGATTTCCTTAGTGAAGGTATTGTAGGGAGGACCAGCTGGAGAAAGTTGGACTTGGAAGCGTGAAGATCAGATGAAGGAGTCATATCCGACTCTATTTTCTTGAGGTAATTTTCGAGGACGAAAATTCTTTAAGTGGGGGAGAATTGTAACACCCCAAATTTAATCGGAATATTTTAATTAATTTATTTGATTGAGAATGTTCGTATTTTGGGTGTTTTCGGTGTTTTGTGGAATTATTGAGAATTATGCAATTTTTGGGTTATTTATTTAATTTATAGTATATAATATTAATTTATTAATATTATTATGAATTAAAATAAATAATAGTGAAAGAAGGGTAATTGGGACAATTGAGAGGAGTAAGTGAGGGCATTATGGGAAAAGCCCAATTATTTGGCCCAAGTCTAGGTTTAACAAAAAGGGAGTTCTGAAGGGTTTTAGGATTCATTTGTGTTAACCGTGAAGAATTGAGGCCAGAGAGCTCTGAAGAGGAAATTGGAGGCAGAAGCTTGAAGGACTCTCTGACAGATTCGTGAAGGCTTTGGATCAATGTTTAAAGTATGAGGAGTATAGCTTTTCATAATTTCCTATGTGTATATTTCGATGTGATTATGGTTGATTTGGGGTTTTAGGGAGAATTATAGGGAAAAAGGATTTTGGCTTTCGTGGCCAAAATCTATTATTGAGATTTTAACCGTGAAGAAGATTAAAAGGTTATGAGTACAAGTGATCTATGACCTTCATGTCCTAGATCTATTATGGAGGTTGTAACCGTAGGGATTCTAAAGGTAGAGATGGGAAATAATGATCTTTGGCCTTCGTGCCCTAAACCTGTAATTGCAAATTTAACCGTGAATTGATTGGGGAAAACGGAAACCTAGGCCTTCGTGGCCAAAAAGCTGATTGAACTTTGCTTAACCCTATACGAACATTTGATAGTGAGTAACTCAGATGCCTGCAGGGTAATTGTAGGGAAATTGTGATTTAGGACGTGAATATGTTCCGGGATTGGCCTAATGAACCGTAGGTTTTGTGCCTTTATCGCTGTAGGACCTTAGGGATGATTTAGGGATGTTTTGGTGGCATTGGGTAAGTGAGTCGTATGAGTTTTTGGGTAAAAATCAGTTCTGGTGCGTAGCAGAATTTGCTGTCATCGCGCAGTTCGCCTAGCGAAGAAAGTTTCGCCTAGAAAACAATTGTGTTCCCAGACTCGCCTAGCGAAGAAACTTGTCCCAGACTCGCCTAGCAAACATGCCAATGAACGTAGCAGAGTTTCGCGAATAATGATAGTGTTCAGCGATGCCTTGATGTTTGATTCTGTGATTTCTGTTATGGATTGATATGAGTATGACAGTGAGTTTTAGGGGATTTGTACATGATGACGTGATGATTTCTATGATGTACTATGATGATATTACCATGATTATGATGAATTATGTGATAACATGAAATATGATGATTTATGTGATGATGATGAAAATGATGAATGATGATGCACTTATGCTGTTATATGAGGATGATTTTGTGACGTGTACATCATACATTCATGTGCATCTGTACTTCGGTTCAGGACCTCGATTACTTTGGCTTCAATCCCATCGTGTGGATGTGAAGTGTTTTAATGTGCTCCGGTTCTCTAGCAGAATCGATCCTATTGATGGGGATCTATGGAGGGTTGATGTCCCAGTGTCCATCGCGCTGTGATGATTGGTACCACATGCATTGAGTCTATGTTGCATTTGCATTTGTGAGCCTTTTTGTATAAATTATGATGTTGTGGCCTTCGAGGCCAAATGAAGGATATGAATGTGTTGAATATGAACATGACGCTGTGATATGTTAATTTTTATACATTGGTTATTATGAACTGTTTTACTCACCCTGCTTGTTTGAATGTTACCTCCACGTGGGTAACGTGCAGATGATCAAGTTTACTTGTGGACGCCGTCGAGGAGTACTTTTGAAGTTTTTTAGCCTTTTGGTTAGGTTAGAGGGTCTTGCTCTGATATGTAATATCGGGTTGGGTTCTTGAGTTAAACTTTATACCATTGAGTTATTTTGCTAACTTTTCCTTATGAGGAAAAACCTTGATTTATGCTTTGAGTTCCGCTGTTTTATGTTGTTTGATGTATTTTGGGGAAAACCTGTAGTTACGGAGTATTGACCTATTTTGAGGACATTGAGAAATGTACGCCCTTTTGGTGACTTTTTATTGAGATTTATTTATTTACTCTGAAACCCGTGTTATTTTGCCTTAATAATCGTGGGATAGAAAAAGGTGTTACACTTCTCCATAGCAATTTTACTCCAACAAATCGTATGCAAATTATGTTTATCAGAATTGTCTCCCCATATAAAAGTCATATGCAAATTATGAATCTCCTTGATACAAGCCTTAGGAATAGTGGTTATCATCATGCTATAAGTAGGAAGTGCTTCAATCACCGCTTTGGCAAGAGTGACACGCCCCACAAAAGACAGTTGATTCATTTTTCAATTCAAAAGCATATTTTAAATTTTCTCAATCAAGTACCCATAATTAAGGTTGTCAAACTCGCGAGTCTACTCAGACTCGTAAAGGGTTCGTAGACTCGACTCGCAAACTCGTACAAGTCTATGAAAAATTAAAAATGACTTTAAAAAACTTATATGTGACACATACATGCACACACATGTACTTTTAAACTTGTAGATGCCTCATATATGATACAAATATATATAATAGAATAGCAATTAACATCAAAATTTAAATTTCATACTCCATAACAAATTTCTTAACAAAAAAACGCAATAATAAAACAAACAAAATAGAAAAATATGTATTTAAATGCTTAAAGTATTAATTTCTTCTTAATTGACTACTACATAAAGTAAAAAAAAATCATATAACAGATATGCTAATGACTTTAAACATCCAGAACTCTAGTGAAATCATCACCACCAATATCATCACCATCATCTTCATCGATATCTTGAGTATCATCATCAAATTCTATCCTGGATGAAACACCTTTTTAATCATTAATCAAAGTTGGATTGCTTGAAGTTCCACTTCCACCAAATTCAACATTTCCACCACCACTTTGCACAACATTAGTAACAACAACATCAACATCCACAACATTGTTAACAATAACATCATCTTACTCAACATTAACTTTGATTTGCATATTTTCCTTATTAGGATCTTCAATTATCCATTCATAATCTTTACACAAGAGAATATACAAGAGAATGTACAAGAGAAACATTCAAGTGAAACATATAAGTTAAATACTTATACAACAAATAATTGATTTATAGGAACAAACGCGAAGAAATCAAGATACATAATAAACACATGTTGTCTATGAGGGGATGAAAGGAGGAAGAAGCTTTGCTGAAATAAGAGACTAGGAGAGAGGCTTTCTAATTCTCGCACAAACAAAAAAAATGTTTTTTTTTAAAATTAAATAAAATATTTCGGGGAATTTGGGCCTTTTTTTGATTTAAAAAAATATAATTCAAAAAAATTTATAGGCTCGTAAACTCGCGAGTTTATGCGAGTCTACCTGAATCTACTCTAATCTATAAAAAATAATTCTATGCGTGAGTATACTCGTTTTCACTTCCTAGACTCGTAAACTCATAATTTACAAGTCTACCCGCGAGTTTGACAATCATACCCATATTCTTTAATTCTGAAACTTCAACCGGTTAATATCACTAATAATTACGTTAAGGCAAATTAGATCCTTTTAAATTTTTTCAAAATCAAATTCCATATTATATATCCTACTATGTACCATCTAAAATTAGAAGATAGAAGTTATGAATATGTCATACTATCAAATAACTCTAATGAATAAAGATGTCATCTTTCATTAAAGTCCCATTAAAAAAAGGTCCCCTAACTAAAGTAGTGATTTTGATGAATTTATGATCATTTAAATAAAAAAAATATATATTTTTTTAAATAAAATAAAATTTTTTGAATAATTTGGACATTTTTTAGTTTAAAAAAATTTATAAGCTCGTAAACTTATAAATTTACGAATTTATGCGAGTCTACCTGAGTCTATCCTAGTCTATAAAAAATGATTTTATGTGTGAGTATACTCGTTTTCACTTCCTAAACTCGTAAACTTATACGAATTTACGAGTCTCCCCGCGGGTTTGATTCAGCCCATAATCCTTAATTCTGGATCTTCCGCTAATCAGTTAATATTACTGATAAGTACGTTATGGCAAATTAGTTCCTTTTAAGTTTTTTCAAAATCAAATTCTATATTATATATCCTACTATGTACCATCTAAAATTAGAAGATAGAAGTTATGAATATGTCATACTATCAAATAACTCTAATGAATAAAGATGTCATCTTTCATTAAAGTCCCATTAAGAAAAAGTCCCCAAACTAGAGTAGAGATTTTGATGAATTTATGATAATTTAAATTCCGTAGAGTTTTTGTCTTGCACTATCCTCAAAAATATTTAAAAAATAATATAACATTATTAGAATGCACAATTAAAGAGGAAAGTTAACTTTACATTAAAAATTAAAATAAACATTTATTTCAAAATTGAAAATATTTTCTAGATCACGTTATAGGTGTAGAGTTCTTTTGTCTCTTATAATAAGCCACGTGCAGCAGACTAATATGGAATACATATCCGTTTGACCGTTGATCTTTTTCATATTTTTATACAATTTGTAAACTACAAATCTTAGTATCTATCAATTTTCCTCTTTGTTTCCATTTCCACACAAATCCTATCTATAATATTTCCCTCTTTAAGTGATGGCCACTAACGAGTTGAAGCTTTTGGGTTGTTGGTTCAGTCCATTTACATGTAGGGTGAAATTTGCTCTTAACATCAAAAGTTTAGATTATAACAATATTGAAGAAACTTTCCATCCTAGAAGTGATTTGGTTCTTCAGTCCAATCCTATATACAAGAAAATTCCAGTGTTGAGCCATGGAGATAAAATAATTTGTGAATCTGCAATCATAGTTGAGTATATTGATGAAGTTTGGAAAGATAATGGTGCTTCCTCTATCCTTCCTTCAAATGATTTTGATAGAGCCATGGCTAGATTTTGGGTTTCCTACATGGATGACAAGGTATTTATATTTCTTATCCTTTTTTTTTTTTTTGACGTTTTCTTACTGTTATTTATGGATGAGTAGTTGTTCAATTCCATGCGAAATGGTTTAATTGCTCAAGATGAAGAATCGAAGAAGAAACATTTTAAGCGAGTAGAAGAAGTGTTTGTGACGTTGGAAGATGTGATCAACAAGTGCAAAAATGAAGGAATGGAGTTTTTTGGAGGAGATAAAATTGGATTTATTGATATTTGTTTTGGGTGCTATATGAGTTGGGTTAGGGCAGCAGAGAAAATAGAAGGAATCAAGTTGCTTGATGACACTAAGACTCCTGCTTTGGTGAAATGGGCTGAAGCTTTTGATGTTCATCCTGCTGTCAAGGGAGTTGTACCAGAAATGAATAAGCTGGTGGAGTTTGTAAAGGGTTTGGTGAAAAGATTGGTTGATGCTACCCCTAAGTAATTGGGAATGTGAGGTCATTTTAGTTTTAAAAGTGTTTTCTAAAGTCCTTCATGTTCCCTCCTCAATCTCAAGTTGTTTGGGACTTGCATGATGGGCTTGTATAATTTGTCATTTAGTTCAAATGATTGAGCTATTTGTTTGGGACTTGCATGATGGGTTTGTATGCAATAATTGAATAAAATACATCTTCAAATATAAATAAATTAAGAAATGTTTGGCAATACTTTTATTTATAGTAATATACTGATGTTAATTTGTTTGGGGAGTTATATTGGTTGGACCTATACATTAGCTCTTAATTGTGGTATGTAACATTGTAATAGAGAATCTCCATACAATTGTTATTTTCACTAAGGTGTTCATTGGAATCATTAGTGCATAAACACAACTTTGTTACTAGAAATAACGGTGACACCGATTTGGTTTGAATATGTTGTATATATATTTCATCCGTTTTACAATTAGTGACTCAATTGACTATTTTATATATATATTTAGAAAAAATACTCGCTATGTCCCAAAATAAGTGTTAATTTTGTCTCAAAATAAAAATTTCTAAATTAATTAACTTTTACCGGCTTTATTATTATTATTATTATTATTATTATTATTATTATTATTATTATTATTATTATTATTATTATTATTATTATTAAACATATGTCCCAATAGATCCATACAAGTTCATGTAACAAGATTTCATTTGAAAGAAATTTAGTTACTCATGTTAAAGAAATATATAGTAATAAGTTTAAAGAAATAATACATGAAACTCAAGGCTATATCTAGTCTTGAATGGCAAAAATCTTTGTTCCAGAGCTTGGTTGCATTGTTCCTTTATCAAAACTGTCAACCCCCATCACGTCACTCTTTTTGTCTTTTAAACATATAAGTAAAGTGAATAAATTGTACTACAACCTCTTCCTTTCATGCCATGAATTGGTGTGTAACTGTTGGATCGTGCCACGACACATTTTCATTGTGGCGCGATTTCTTGTTTTGTACTAGATTGTGGCACAAATCTGGGCACGAATTTTCCAGGGGTTTTGCCTAATTTTCCTTCACAAAAGCTCCTTTTATCATATTTCATCAATTTCTTCATACTCTTCTAAATTCCTCTTAAAACTAAGACACATTAAAAAATTTAAATGAAATACAAATGCTCAATAAAATTACATGATGACAGTCAGTCATCACAACCCCAAACATAAATTGTTGCTTTTCCTCAATAAACTTGACTGTAAACTGAAAATTTCAACAGAAAACAATATGCTTACCATACCAATGACAATCAATAATTTCAGTTAAGGTTGCCACTTTTGTGCCTTCCTTCAATTCAGATCAATCCAAAAAAAAATTCTCTAACCTTTATGTACTCAACTTGTCTCTCAATCTCTCATGTGTTACGTTAGCAGCAAAAATAAGTTATATAATTATGTTATCCATAAAGACCGGTGGTTTCAAATACCGTTCAACAAATTTTAAGATTTTAAGTAGAGAAATGGATTTTGTATTGGTTATTAAATGTGAAAGTAAATAACATAAAATAAATGACAGAAAGTAAAATGGAAATTTTTATGTTAACAGTAGAAAGCTTGATGGGGTTAGATTTCGTCGTTACGTATTTATCATGCACGTTTATAAATCAGTAATATGCTCCTCTACTCTGATAATAATATTAGCACTTGTTACCCTCATTTGTATCTCCTTTCAGTCTCCATGTCGTGAGATCAGTATATTACCTAACTAGCTAATATCTCAAACTATTAACCAACACAGAGTATTGTGTCACAACATTCGTAGTGCAAGAAGACTACACACTGATCTTGCTACATTACATGTGGATGACAAACATAACCCAATCTCTAGGTGTTAGTATCCAATAGATGATCGTCTTGAATCTAATAATGAAAAACATCTTTTGAGGTCGAGTCACACCATGCAAAACGGGTTTTAGATTGCAACACTAAAACAAGCATTAAGATTAAAGATTCATTAATATTACAGCAAGGGTAGGATTACATAAAACTTCATGATCTATTTAGCACATGAATATAGTGACTCATCTTAACCCAACAATGATATTTTAATTACGCTTACTCATGGTTAGCGTAACAACAAGTAACTCTGGGATGTCAACCTTAGAATTGTGATATGCCTTGTCACTTGAGAAGTGCTTCTACTTTCATACCTCCTCTCTTACTCTCTCGTTGTAGACCAAAGTGAACTTACTCTAATTATGTACTGCCTTGATTCACCGAAACTCTCTTTGCACTAAATTAGAACTTTCTATTTATAGGCAAAATTATGAGGTCCTTTTTAGGCACACCTTCCTTGCGCCTATCGCGCCTACCCTGCGCTATCAACTCTTCCTGCCTAGCTTTTATTCCTCAACAAGTAATGCTTGCATGTATTCCACGTGTCCTTGACCACTTTTGCTCATCCAGTGCATCACCTCTTCGACTAGAGAGCTAACACTTGCTTCACCATAAAGTAGTTGTAGTTAGTTGATCCATTTGTCCATGCCATCATGCGCTTATCGCGCCTGTGCTAGGCCTTACAAGCCTTGATTCTTCCAAGTTTTTCTTTGGCATGTTTTCTGCATGCCAAATTGTGGTTTTCCAATTATTTTCACCAGTTTTTGATTAATGCATACAAGAAAACTTCAAATAGACGTTTTCTTACTTTTCACAGATAAATCAAGAGGGGGTTGTTGTAACACCCCAATTTTTAGTAATTATTTATTAATTAAATTAATTGATTAATTATGTGATTTTAGGCCTAATTGAATTAACTAATTTATGTGATTTATTTGATATAATTGAATTAGTTGATTTATTGAATTTATATAAATTATTTGATTTATTTGAGTTGTTTGGATTAATTGAATTATTGGACATATTCGAAATAATTGATTTAATTTTATTATTTAACTTATATGATATATTCTAATTTGTAGAATAATATAGAATTGATAGATTAATTGATTGGGCCTATTTGGCGGTGTGAATAGACATGAGTTATTAAGCCCATTGGAATTACTAGGTTAATTAAAATTGTGAGAATTATATAAAATAAGAGAATGGTATAAAATAGAATAGAAAGAAAGAAAAGATAGAAAGGAGAAAAGAGGCAAAGAGAGGAGTGGAGAAGAAGAGGAGGAAACTCAAGAGAAAGAGCAAAAGTTCAACAAATTCAGGGTAAGGGTGAGAAACATTATTATTTGATCAATGTGTATGATTATGTATGAGTTGTGTTGGATTTGTTGGTAGTTTTCTCTATTTTCCATTTCTAGGGCATAAATGGTTTAATCGGTAGAATCGAGTTTTGAACGGTTAGAATTCAAAATAAATTGCATAGTTTAGTCGGGTAATGTTTAGCCGTGATTATTGGATTTCGTTTGATTGAATTTGGTTGAGTTTGTGAGTTTTGACATTTTTGGATAATTGAGGGTTTGAGATTTAAGTGAAAATCGGACGTCGTAGAAATCGTGTTTAATGGTTCTAATTCATTGCTATATGTTAGGTGAGTATGAGTATGTGTTTGTTTCGAAAAAAAGAATTGAATCGATCGGATTTTCGGGCGAAAATGCAAAATCCCGTAGCCGTGTTTAGGCAAAATTCTGGTTTTTCGAAAAACTTCGAAAATTCATAACTCTTGAACCGTAAGTCGGTTTTGACCCCCGTTCGAAGCGTTGGTAAGTTAACGAGATTATCTTTCTAGAAAAAATGGATTTGAGGCCTGTACCTAGTTCAATTATAGCAGAAAATTGAAAACATATTGTTGTGTTGATTTTTACCGTCGTGAATGTGTGTGATTGATGTGTTATTGTGCATAATACTTTTGTTATATAACGTATAGCTTGTGCATGTTGTGATATGATATGTTGTGGGTAGCCGTATGACGTGAATCCTAGATGGTGGAATCGATTATGAAATATAGTCTTTTGACAAATATATGCATATTGTTTGTATGTGAAGAATGCATGAGAACATATTGTGAATATGTGTGCATTGTTTGAAAAGGTAATGAGGTTGAATTATGAATGCATATTTGTTGTATCTGATTATTGTGAATTAATGCATGGGAGCATATTGTAAGATATGCGTGCATTGTTTGACAAATATGTTGATGAAAAGTATGAATACTTGATTATATGATATGTTGTGTGTGCAATCTTGTTTAATTCTTGAAGGGAGGAATTATGTGAACGCATGGGATTAAGACGTGTGATCGGTCTTAAGTGCATTTTGTTGTTGATTGCATATGCATCATTTAGTCAAGAGGCAATGTTTGCTAGTTTCGTGGAGGCTAGTGACTTGTCCCAAACCTAGAGCGGGGTTTGAAAGCTTAGGGAACGGGCTTTTGTTGTTATCGGTCTAGGGAATGGACCCAGTTTAAGTGTAAAAATCGAAAAATGATAACAAGTGTTGGTACCACATGGCATGAGTTGCATTGAGTTACATTGAGTCTCATGGAATGAATATATGATTGTTGTATGAAGTTATGCATAGGTGTATGTACATGACTTGTGTAATTGTGAACTATGGATATGTTTGATGATTGTCCATATTTGTCTATATATATATATATATATATATATATATATATATATATATATATATATATATATATATATATATATATATATATATATATATATATATATATATATATATATATATATATATATATATGCTTTGTGAAGTATATGATGAGTTATGATAAAGTATGGTGAGAATGGTGGAATATGCGTATGTGCATTACTTGTATAATTGAGAGTTGTGAATATGTGATCATTGTATGAAAGTATGCTTATGAACATGAATTGTTGATTTGAGAATTGTGAATGTGTAATTGTGAATTAGTGAGTAAACATAATATGTGTATGTTCATGTGGAATGTTGAGATTTATGGATACGTGCATGATGAATATGCTTGGTGATTATCCATATTTGATTATATATATGTTGTATTGTACATGATGAGTTATAATGAAT